CCAATTTGAGTGATTCCATACTTTTTCCCTCAGAATTGAGTGATTCCATATTTTTTTCCCCATGCTTGGTCAATAAAAGTAACATTCGCAGACTTCCAGTGTTTTCTCTTCATTTCTTTGAGTGTTCCTGAAAGCCAACAAGTTGAACTTTGGAATGACCTTATTATTGTATCATGTTTTTGATCTGAGTTTGTTTTACAGAATGAAATGTCTGAAYGAGTGCTCATCCAAGACTGGTGATTCCATACTTTTTGCCAGGGGTTGYATTTCTTAATTTCTCAGCACAAGATGATCTWAAATTGTGACATTCCTTAGGCCTTTAACTACATATTGATGGGCTAGGTTTGTGAAAGTTATCCAAAAATTATCCTTAAAATTAAGTTTCAACTTGACAAATACATTCCCAGAAAAACAAATAGCACCAGCTTTTTGTGTTTTACCAATAACTGAGAATGAGTCAACCGGAAGTATACCTTTAAATGGTCATGTTTAAAAAAAAAACCCAGAGGTGCTTTAAATAAACAGTACAGTGCTGACAGTGAAGCAGGTACACGGTCGGCCCTCTCGTGGACAGCGCTGACTGTGCTCGCCCTGCCCAGCCTGGTGTTTTCACAGCGTGGGTCTCTGGGAGGTCCGGGAAGGTAATGTCGCAAAGCTTGTCGTAAACCAGGTGCGGAGAAGAGGGAGGTGAAGGGAGGGAGTGAGGTGGTGGAGGAGGAGGTGGGGGGAGCGGGGTGAGAGAGGAGGTGACTCTCCGGCAGCATTTAGACACAACGAAAGGATCATGGCGGATGGCCCCAGGTGTAAGCGCAGAAAACAGGCGAACCCGAGGAGGACCAACGGTGAGTGAAAACTACTTCCCGGAGCGGAGTTTATTTATTTATTTATTTATTTATTTATTTATTTTAATTCTCTCACTCTCTCTCTCTCCGGGCCAGCGAACCCGGAGGGCTGTCCTGCCAAAAAAAAAAAAAAAAAAAAGAAAAAAAAAAGATATTTGTCCCTGAAAAGTTAGTTAGTTAGTTAGTTTGTTTTCGTTGCCGAAAGTGCCGAGAAGTATGAAAGTGAGCGGTGTACCCGGGGCAGCCCCTGCCTGCCTGCGCGCGGCGGTGTACCGTTATATACCTGGGTCCGCGTCGCTCCCTCCTCCGCCTAGCGGTCCGCTCCGCCGGGSTGGACCGTTACACGCACCTCACTCTGCGAGGAGCCGAGCGGCTTCTGTCCTCGCTTTGCGCTCATTTACAGAGACGCTTTTAAAAAGTCCCCATTCATTGATTTAGTCGTGTTTGGTCGAGTTTTAAAACCCACCGGAAAACTCCTGTTTCTGGGAGAGACCGGACTCTACCAGGTTGTTGTTGTTGTTGTTGTTGTTGTTGTTGTGGTCATCCACAACTGTTTAGATTAGTATTTTTGTCTATATATAATAATGTTGTATTTATTTTCGAGCATGGTTAGAGGAAAAAGAGGACTGTTTGGTCCTTTATTCTTTCTTTTCCTCATAGCAGGTTGTGTCACAGCTCAGATAAGGCACGTTCTGCTCGTCGCGAGCTTCAATGTAGTTTTACACCCTCAACCACCGGGGTGTTTTAAATAGAGCTAGCGCGTTTTAAACAGCTGTTTTTTGTATTTTATGTTTATTTATTTTTTTTAATTAGTAGCATTATTATTTAATCTCCCAACTCCCTCGTGTTTCTGCCCCGCGCTCACTTTGTTTCATGTTTCAGTGAGGGCTCGGCAGAGAGAGAGAGTCCAGCAGGAACACCTCTCTCTGCTGGGGTGAGCAGAGCGGGGTTCCGGAGCGCCAGGGATGTCTCTGTTTGTGTGAACCGGGCGAGCGCTGCCCATATAAGGAGAGCGGATCCTCTGCCGTCGCGCGCTTGTTTGTGGGGGGGAGATCCTGGAGCAGTGGACGCTGGCCGAGCCTCGCGCACGGTTCTTGCGTTTTCGTTTTAACACTATGTAGTAATTGTTTGGTCTAAGTATTTATGTCTAAACTTATAAACTGAATACTTAAACTCGTTTTTATAGCTGGGTGTTAATTGGCGATGCAAGTATTTTGCTTCGCTAGTGTCGGTCTGGAGCGCGTGTTCACCGGGGCGCTGCAGCTGGCTCGTGCGTAACGGTRACCCGTGGGTGGGTTTGCGCAGCGGATGACCGTCCTGTGGGTTTTCTGAGGAATGATTTATTGCTTCTCCTGCTTTTAAACTTTTCCTGACATGTTTTTTGATCCGTACTCCATTGTTAGAGTAAAAGTTCAGCTCGCCGCGTGAATATGGCTGGTTTTGGAGAAAGGAAGTGTTTTATTGCTTATTTGTTTGAAGTTTTGCTTATTGTCATCCACCACCATTTTTCTTTTATTGGGTTTTTATACTCTGTTGACAATTAAAGTGTCTTTTATATGAAAATTGTATTATTTTTGTTACTTTGACTTGTTTGTAAGGGTTTTATCCTGAACTTCCCTGTGTTTGGAAAGAGTGAGGTTGTCACTGCCTGAATATATATATATATATATATAT